ATTTTTTATTTTTTGTAAAAATTTTAGGTTAGCAATTGAGAGCCATTCATTTTTGTAATTATTTTTTCATGTGCACAGCTTTGAAGAATTTCTTTTTGTTATTGTTGTTATCAATCGCGCATTATCAGTTTGTTATAGACTACTTTAGCATACTTACCTGAGCATCTTAATTCTTTAACTTTTTCATAGAGTATTTTTTTTTTTTCAATTTTTCTTTTGCTGTAGTTGTTGTTAAGATATTTTCATTCATTCCAAACCTTTAGTCGTTTATAATGATGTATTATTTTTTCTTTGTCTTTGTAGTTTAGAAACTTTACAACTATTGTTGATTGCATTTTTTTTCAGATTCGTTTTTTTTTCCAATTCTATGGGCTCTTTCTATTTGAATGTCATGTTAATATTTAATTTTTCTTTATTAAAAAATTTTACCTTTGACTTGTTTTTTTTCCATGATTCCTTCTCTTTTCAGTTGTAACCTTTTTCTTAGTTTCTTGACTTTAATCCTTATCCGGAACCTTCACTCCACTGAAATTGAGTTAAAAAATACTAATAGTGTACTAAAAGGTTAAAAAATATGTTAATTTTAAACCGAGTAAATGGGACTTTTGTAATTTTATTAATAAGAAAAATGAACGAAAGTATATGCAAATATATAACTTACATAAACTTCAAATTATGTAATGTTAAAACATGCTAAAACATTTATCAAGTTTAAAAGTTTTACTTTCACTTGAAAATTGCATTGCAGCCACATCCCCTCAAATTTGATCTGTAGCATTTATTTCCAATTTATAAAGTCTTTTATTTATTAGATTTTTTTAAAATTATTATTAGCCGAGTAGTTAGCTTGCAGAACTTCTGAACAAAAAAGCTGTAGTTCAAATCCAAACTCTGGTGACTTTTTTTTTTTATTTATTTTTTTTTTCAATTTTTGTAAAATACAAAATAAAACACTTTTGAAGTTTTATAGATGTTATATACTTAACATATGTAAAGATATTATACATGATTGAGATATTTATGCTATTAATGTGCTCAGGTAGTTAGTCCGGAAAAGGTTAATTAGGTCTGAAAAAAAATTATGGTCTGAAAGAAAAAAATTTAATAAGACAGTTCTGCTACTCCAGAAGGTATGCAAGTGTGGAGGGGAGGGGGAGAGGGATGATAGCCTGTAACTATTAAAAACTTTTGCGCTTATTTTACCTATTACAAGTCTTTTTATCTATATTTATTTTTTTGCTATAAATAAATATGGCCAGATTAAAAAAATTGAAAATACATTTTGTTAAGGGGCAAATTTGAAACCTTGCAAAACATTACATATGATAATACATTAAATCACTGATTTATCGAATTTACGCATGTAATCAAAGAACAAACCATTTTATAAACTATTACATAGATGGCAATTAATCAACACTTTTTAAGCTTTTCGAAATAAGTTCAGCTTTATTGCATAAGAATAAAGTTGTGCTTATATACACATGTATGTTTAATCTATAAACATGTTATATGCTTATATACACGTGTTTTTGCTCAAGCATTTTTGTTTTTTATGTATTTATGTTATTCTATTTAAAAAAATTGACAAGATTGAAAAAACACAAAATATACTGTTTCATCCAAGTGGAAAATTTGAATCTTCAATTTGCCCTCTATCTTGATAATTTCTGGTTGCTAAAATTATGTCATCTTCTAAGACCATTAAAAATGATAGATGAGGCCTTCTTATAAATGTTGATACCAAAATTTTTTTATGCATGTGATATGACTTTGTGGCAAAAAAACTAGAAAAACAAACTTGAAATAACACTTTATTTAAATTTTTGAGTAAAATTCCTTTTATTAAAAATACATAGAATACATTTTTAAGAGATATATTCTAATAGAGACTAAATATAGCAATTACTTTGATATTTCTTTAAAACTTTATTTCTTATTTATTTATTCCTATTGTAATTATAACAAACTCTTAAAAATGTAAAACAAATAATTGATGTATAAAAGTTTTTTTCTTCCACAAACTGATGCCACTACGCAAATACCAATGCCACTACGCAAATACCAATGCCACTACGCAAATATTTTTCGGCTTAACTTTTAGAGTAGCGTTTTATTGCTAAAGCCAAGTCTATAGTTTTTAATTGTCTAAGATCTTCTTAGTTCTGCCATTTTTATAGAGTTACTTACAAATGTTTGTAAGTGTAAACGCCTTTAGCATATATTGAGTTTGCAGGCTCTATATGGAAAAATCATGTAAATGTATTTATAAAATGAGAAAACTTTAAAATTTTATTTTAACAATTAGAAAACTTTTTTGCTTTATTAATATTTTTTTGCTATAAATATACAAGCAGAATTGAAAAAAATCCTAATTTTAAACCCCTCGAAACGACACTGATGACAGTGCACTAAACCACTTAGCTATCAATGATATGAGTTTAGGAAAAAAACAAACCAAATTAAAAATCTTTAATAAGCTCTATGTATGTAGAAAATGTGCACATGCTAATTTTTTTGCTCCTAAAGCATAAATTATTATATTAAAAAATATTGAAGTAAATAAGGAATAGGTGTAGAAATGATCTGAGTGGAATAGATGAGTATAGAAGTAGTAGGTTTGGTAAAGGTATAAATGTATGGAAAAAAATATAGAAAAGTTGGTGACTTACAAAGACCCATAATTTTACGGGTCTGGTTTGCTAGTCTATTTTAATACAAAATATGCCTAAAAAACTTATCACTAAGAAAAAAAAAAGCTGTGCACTGAAGAGCTCACATAATTAAGCTGCTCAATCATTCAGCATATCAGTTGTAATTTAAAGTATATGAGTAGTTTTTTTAAAGTTTACTGCATAGGTAAGATAATCGGCTGTGGTTCAAATACAAGATTACTATAATAACTTGAATCAACTCTAATAGTTATACTTATCAAGTTATCTGATTGTGATTATGATAGAAAATCACACTAGTTGCAGATGAATTGCAACACTAAGATCAATCTCATGCATATCAATAAAAAATGTTAAAGGCACCAAGTTTTATTTCACCAAAAAGTGCTGCTTATGTGACAACTCAATTTATAATTCTCAAAACAATAAAAAATATATGTTGTTTTTAGTTAAATGTATCATTAGTTGTTTTTAGTTAAATGTTCTTTTAATTACCCATTAACTTGTATTTTCATTTTAATTCTTCCTAAATTTATCGGTAGGGTGAAATAGTTTTTGAATTATATAAGGTTTCTTAAAAAATTTGTATATATTTAAATTCTTTAGAATTTATATAAAATATTTTTTTTTTAAATCTTTTTCCTGTAAAAATAAATTTAATCAAAAACTTTTAACTATTTTATTTTTTTTCATTTTTACTTTATTGTACTCTTTCTAAGCCTTGAAAGTCTTCATACTATTTTATTGAATTAAATTCAAAATCCAATTTATTAAATTCTCACCTGATTAACATTTTGCTTGAATACAACAAATCTTCTTAGTTTCATGTGTAGATTTTTATGCATCACTAAGTGTTATTTTGAAAAAAAGCCAAAAATCTTTTGTTCAGTCGAGTCCTTCAAAACTACCACTGTATACAATTTGCTCCATCAAAACTGCTAGCTATAATTATAGCCATGGCTGAACAGTTTTCTTTTTAATAATTTTTATCTTTATTAATGATAAGAAAGTTAACAACTTTACTTACATGACCTTCATAAAGACAGTGGAATTATATTGATAACTTCTCCAGTCAATTTTGTATCTAACAAAAGTTAATTAGTCAGATTTTTGTAATATTGCATCCGCATTCATAGTTTACAATCAAATTGTTACTTACTGACTTCAATAGCAAGTGGTTTGTAACTCTTATCTCGTCCATCGATTTATCACAATAGCTTCATTAACATTTTCTATCATGAGCTTATATTTAAAAAACAAAAGAAAATTGTTAATTCTTTAAATTTTCATTGCATATTGGGTTAAAGTAAAGATAGTTGGTATACTCTTGAATTGACATTTTTTTGACATTGTAAAACTTATTCAATTAGTTTGCTTGTTTGTAATATCATAATGTTCTCTTGTATCGAATCCAGCGTAACTATGCTACCATGGTTTAAAGCCTAATGCTGATTTTTCAAACTCGTTCATGTTGATTGTAGAAACAACTATAACAGCAACATTTGGATTTTTAAATTAATTTAAAGATATGGTTTTTGTAACTTTTTTATTTGCATGTTGTTTGTATGACTTGTAAATTTTCATTGTAAAGTTTAGACTTATGTCACGATAAACCAAAGCAAAAAAAGCATATGTTTAGTGTGACACACCAGGACTATCACAACCAAAGGAAAATATTAACATTGCAAAGATAATGTTATGTATTTGGTAGGATCAAAAGAGTGTACTGTATTATGAGCTGTTAAAACCAGGTCAGATAACTAAAAGGGATCTCTACCAAAGGCACTTGATCTCTCTGAAGAAAACAATTTCTAAAAAAAAAACTAGAATATGCAACTAGACATGAGACCATAATTTTCTTAAAAAAAAAACAGAAACATATTTTTTTTTTCCAATAAAAAAATATAATATTAAAAAAAAAAAAAACATACTGAAAACATATCCTGAAAATAGGACATAGTTAATATTAATTTAAAAAGAAAAAAGTTAAGATTTCTATAATGAAGTTGGTTGTGAATAGTTTCTAGTTGCTGTGAATAATCTGAAAACAGCAGTGTGCAACATTGTTGAATGTCAGTAATTGATGTGAGATTAATTTTGTAAATTTAAACAATAGACTCTTGTAGTTTTTAATTAGATAAACCAGCTTTAATGCAACTAGTAATTTATATAAATTGTTGTTAGCAGATGAGTTAAAAAAATATGGTAACCTATCTTACCATGTTGTTTGCTATTTTATTTTTATAAAAAAATGTAATATAGATTTTAGTGATTTATAATTTATTATATTTTTTTAATCACAAATTGATTGAACCACCTCTCATTTAGACACATGCAAAGAGGGATAGACAGCACTGACATAGATTCCGGCCCAATAGAAAACAATAGGACTTGGGTTGCTATCTACTTCATTTCATTTGTTGTTGTCTTTTCATTTTTTTTTATGAATGTATTTATTGGTATGATTATTCTTACATTTCATGAACAAGGAGCAGCAGTGTCTCGTAAAAATCTTAATCAAAATACTGTAAGTGATTCTGACTATTAATCTATTTATTCAAAAAGTTGTTTAATTTATTTAAGATATAAGTGCATGAAGACATTATGTTACTCCAATATGGAACAGAGATATCTGGAGTTAAGTTTTTAAACATATTTTTGTTCTGAATATTTTTCTATAGCAAAAAAAAATAATTATGAGCAGTATTGTAATCAAAATAGCATTATTTTAATATATATAAAAGTTATTTTTAATAAATATAATTAATTTTGATAAATATAAAAGTATATTAAAAAGTGGAAACTTATATTTTCGCATCATAATGCCTTCATTCACTTATGTTTTCAATTGTTCAAAATTATTTTACTTTTTTTTTTTTAATTAAAATATTTTTAATTTCAATTTTTAGATAAATAGTTTAGTTTTTGCAATGAATGCAAAGCCTATGAAACGCTTTATGCCAGAAGATGTCAAAAGCTTCCAGTATGCTGCATGGGTATTTACAGAATCTAATGCTTGGGAAATAACAACAACATGTCTTATAATACTTAATACCATTGCTTTGGTTATCGAGGTAATATTCAGCAAAATAATCCTAAACATCTTTACATTGATCAGCAATGGATTCTTCACTGTCTATTGCAATTTTATTTTTGAATTTGCAAATGATTTCATTTGTTATTGTAATTTATTTTTGTTAGTTTGAGGGCGAGCCTGATATATATTCTGCAAAAATGAAAGATATAAATACAACATTTTCTTTCTTTTTTTTGACGGAGTTTCTAATTAAATTTTTCGCTCTTGGGTTTGTAAGTTATATTTTGTTTTTGTTTCTTTTGTTACTTTTTTGCTATTCTACTGTTTTTTGCACATTCTATATAATATTGTAATCTTTTCTTTAAAATTTAATGAACTATCATTTTTTATCAGAATTATTTCAAGGATCTTTGGAATGGATTTGATTTAATAATAGTTCTTGGTGGTCTTATTGATTTTGCTATTAAACTGAAACTGGCAAGTTTCTTATCATTTCAATAAGTATTATATTCAACTAGTAATCATTAAGTTGTTGTTTTTTTTTTTTTAATTATAAATCAATTTTGCTTTTAAACTTTTTTTTTCTGGAATTGTTTAGAGCAACCCAGATGCTGTATTTGATACCAGTATTTTTCGATTTTTACGAGCATTGAGATTAGTTAAATTACTGAGAAGAAGTCGATCACTTCGTATCTTGTTATGGATATTTATAAAATCATTTCAAGTAAGTAGTTTTATTTGTTTTTAATTTACTTGTTTTTAGTTAACATGACAGCTTATGCAACCATAAGTTTAAGCTACCATCTAGTATAGACATTTTATATAAGATCATAAGTATAAATAAAAGAATAAAAGTTTGCTAATCCAAGAACTTGGTTGCAACTGTATGACTAGTCAATCAACTTCTAGTTCTGCATGTTGACTTTTATGAATTATTGCTCTACCTAGAATGCACCTCAAATTGATTATCCAGACAACACTGTCACAAAAAGTGTTGTTACAATGAGCCACTTAAGGTTCATTCTTGTCTGTGCAACGTTTCTTAAGATCTATTTATCTATTAAATTGTTCCAGTACAAGGTTGCTTATCAAAACAACACTGCTTGGGGAAGTATTTTCCTGATAAGCAATATTTCACTAGGATATTTTCATTTCCCTGTTCAAGACTGCTTAAAGCTGAATGTTCGCACTCCCCCTGAGAAGGATTAGTTATCATATTGTGGGTTCAGATTGTGATTATATATATGTGGTCGAGGTAAGAAGACAAACTCTTCACAAATCTGTCTTGAAAAAAACTCATTTTTTAATCTTTTCAATTTCATTTTTACTAGGTAAACTGTATTTGTGTATTTATTATGCAACTATTTTTTTTTGTTACCAGATAATGTAAACAAAAGTATGAAACTTTTTTTTTGTTACAAACGTTTTTTGGGGGTAAAGTTCAAGTTTGTGCTGAAAGTTTGTGTAAAAACTGAAAAGTTTTCACATTTTATTGTTAGATATTTGGCACTTAAAGCACTTTTTCATTTTGCAAAAGTTATTATTTTTATTTGTATATTATAAAATTATTATTGTTTGCGAAAATTAATAACATAAAAAAGACGAGTATAAAATTTAAAATATTCATAAATATGAGTTTTTAGAACTGATTAAAAATAGTTTATAATGTATATTTTTTTACATATATATTTTGAAAACATCAAAAAACAAAACAAAAAAAAAAAGAGCAGAAATGCTTAAAAACATGAAAATATTTTCAATTATTACAACTGTCTCCTCAAATCAAGTCAATATTTATGTCTCTGTCACATTGTGGTTAAATCTCTGTCACATTTATGGTTAAATCAGTTGATGTATGTACAATGTTCAGTTGTACAATGTTTAGTTGTACAATGTTCAGTTGTACAATGTTCAGTTGTACAATGTTCAATTGTACAATGTTCAGTTGTACAATGTTCAGTTGTACAATGTTCAGTTGTACAATGTTCAATTGTACAATGTTCAGTTGTACAATGTTCAGTTGTACAATGTTTAGTTGTACAATGTTCAGTTGTACAATGTTCAGTTGTACAATGTTCAGTTGTACAATGTTCAATTGTACAATGTTCAGTTGTACAATGTTCAGTTGTACAATGTTCAGTTGTACAATGTTCAGTTGTACAATGTTCAATTGTACAATGTTCAGTTGTACAATGTTCAGTTGTACAATGTTCAGTTGTACAATGTTCAATTGTACAATGTTCAGTTGTACAATGTTCAGTTGTACAATGTTTAGTTGTACAATGTTCAGTTGTACAATGTTCAGTTGTACAATGTTCAGTTGTACAATGTTCAGTTGTACAATGTTCAGTTGTACAATGTTCAGTTGTACAATGCTCAGTTGTACAATGTTCAGTTGTACAATGCTCAGTTGTACAATGTTCAGTTGTACAATGCTCAGTTGTACAATGTTCAGTTGTACAATGTTCAATTGTACAATGTTCAGTTGTACAATGTTCAGTTGTACAATGTTTAGTTGTACAATGTTCAGTTGTACAATGTTCAGTTGTACAATGTTCAGTTGTACAATGTTCAGTTGTACAATGTTCAGTTGTACAATGTTCAGTTGTACAATGCTCAGTTGTACAATGTTCAGTTGTACAATGCTCAGTTGTACAATGTTCAGTTGTACAATGCTCAGTTGGACAATGTTCAGTTGTACAATGTTCAGTTGTACAATGTTCAGTTGTACAATGTTCAGTTGTACAATGTTCAGTTGTACAATGCTCAGTTGTACAATGTTCAGTTGTACAATGTTCAGTTGTACAATGCTCAGTTGGACAATGTTCAGTTGTACAATGTTCAGTTGTACAATGTTCAGTTGTACAATGCTCAGTTGTACAATGTTCAGTTGTACAATGTTCAGTTGTACAATGTTCAGTTGTACAATGTTCAGTTGTACAATGTTCAGTTGTACAATGTTCAGTTGTACAATGTTCAGTTGTACAATGTTCAGTGATGTAAAATAATAAAAGTAGTATAAAAAAACAAAAACTTTTTTTTTTAATTTTTTAAAAAACAATTAAATATTAAATTATAAATTATTTTCTTTATTTTTAATTATAAATTTTTTACTAAAATATTTTATTTGTTTTTTATTTGGTTTTCAACTTTAATTGCCAAGATTAGTTAAAAGTTGTCATTTAAAATATATTGTTTAAGTATATATATAATTATATATATAATAATTATAATAATATATATAATATATATATATATATATATATATATATATATATATATTATTATAATTATTATATATATAATTATATATATATATATATAATTATTAGTTTTATACTAATAATTACTAACATATTAAATATATATATATATATATATATATATATATATATATATATATATATATATATATATATATATATATATATATATATATATGTATATATATATATATATAGATATATATATATATATATATATGTATATATATATATATATATACATATATATATATATATATATATATATATATATATATATATATATATATATATATATAATATGTATATATATATTATTTATATATATATATTATTTATATATATATATATATATATATATATATATATATATATATATATTTAATATGTTAGTAATTATTAGTATAAAACTGTTATGGTATTATAGTAAATAATTTAATAATATAATATATAGTTTAATAATTTGATTATTATACATTTTTATAGTTATTTATAGTTTTTTTAGTTTCTTCAATTTTTGTTTAATACAAAATATCTCTTTTTAAGTTTCAAGCTGAATACAAGTTTAATAGTAGAATTACTTTTGTTACAAATGTGAAACTGAAAAAGCTTAGTGGAGCAAAAAAAATCTTTATTAATGACATTTTTGAAACTTGGTATAAATTTGAAGACATGGAAAAAAGTCTTAAATAAATTTTTTTTTTAAGTTACAAAAATAATTTGTGACAAATAAAAAAAAGTGCTGTATAGTACTAATTAAAAAAATAACAATTTTACAACAAGAATTAACTGAACATTAATTGTTAACTCGAAAAAATGATTTTAAAGATTTTTATTTTCTACCACTTACTAAAAACTATTGAAATAAAATGACTATATAATGAATAAGTATAGAAATGGTCGCTGTGAAATAGACTTAACAAGTCCCATATTTTTTGGATCTGGACAGCTAATTCATATTAATTGAATTTAGTATTTTTTTTGCTGAGTAAAAAATTGTGTTGAAATGTTGAAATTTTTGAAGAATACTAACTTAATAAAGTTTGGTTATAGATTCACTCTTCAAAAACAGATATAAAAAATGAAATCAAAAAAAATATTTTTTACTAAAATTTAAATTTTTTGATATTTAAAAAAAAAATTTAATTATTGTTTCCAACCTCAATTATTAACGCCTATAAAATTATAATAAATAATTTGTTACTTTACATTTTTGAAAAAATTTTGAAAATATATTGATGCACATTGAATAAAAAAAAGGTATGGGGTACAGACCTGAAATATAATACAAAATTTCTAATTATTATTTTCATGATTAAAATCATAAAAAATTGCAATTAAATAAATACACTTGAAATATAAAAAAATGCTACTTATAACAGAAAGGTTTTGTTTTTGTCTGCAAAAACTAGGACAACCTGTAAAATCTACATTGCATACATACATGTGTGATACACCATGGAGAGTACAAAATGGATTGTTTAGAAGCACAAAATCATTAGTATGTTATTATTGTTATAATAAAATTTTTATTAGAACCATTAAATTTAAGCATTAAGTAAATTTACTTAAGGCATCTAAATAATTAAAATTTTAATATTCAATGTTTGTTTAATATTCAAAATTCTTTCTATTTTTCTTAAGTAAAAACATGATCTAAGAAAATATAAAACATGTTTTATCAAAATTAGTTGGGTTTATATAAACAATAAAAATTATTTTCTTCTGCAAGTATACAGAATAATGTTGTTTGTTGTTTTGATTTTTAAATTTATATAATGTTTTTATAAACATCATGTGTTTATGTTTATTTGACTAGATTACTTGATCTTTAATGTCATTTACTTAGATTACCAGATATTTGATGTTGTTTGACTTGATTACTTTAAAATTATTTTATTGATTAAAAATTGTATTTTAGGCATTGCCTTATGTTGGCATGTTAATTTTGTTGTTGTTTTTTGTGTATGCTATCATTGGAATGCAGGTATAGTTTAAATTTAATTTTTTTTTTACTATTTTTTCCAAAATTTGCTCAAAAAGACATATACTTTTTTGTTTGTTTGTTTGTCAAATAGTTTTTTTACAATTGGTAACAAATAAATATTAATTGAATGAATAATTAATAAAAAACAAATAATAATAAATATAATAATCACCTTAAAGCAAAATAATTTCTGATGCAAATATTATTATGAAACTTTTGTAAATGTTTTCTTTTATTTTTTTATTTTTTATAAATCTCCACCTTTTGAACTTTATCACTACATTTCTCATATATAAATACAAATATATTAATCAAATATAAATATAAAATTATTTATGCTTTAAAAAAAATATTCAGCCTATTAAATGTACAATATCTTTATTTTATTTTTGTCTATTCAACAGTTTGATGTTTGAATTTCTTACATGTTTCCTAAACTATTTTTAAAGGTATAATTATTTAATTTTAGACTTTTTATGGAATTTCGATTGCATCTAAAGATTCCTATATTAATGAAAACAATCATTTTCGATCATTCTTTAGCTCCATCCAAGTACTATTTAGGCAAGTTTTTTATAAAAATATGCTGATAAAAAAGTATAATGATAAATTTACTGAATGTTAAAGCATACTGCAAAAAACCTAAATAATAACTAAAAAATTACTGCAAAAAGAAAAAAAAAGTAAAAAAAAATTTTGTAACTAGTTATAAAAAAAATCACTATTCAAACGTTTTTAATCATCATTAAATTTATTCCCTCACACTTTACGTTTTTTAATAACTGTAGAATGTCTTGAACAACCAAGAAAATTTTTTCAATTATCCTTTAAATATCTTCAACCATTGTAGAATGTCTTGAATTACCACGTAAGTTTTTTCAAATGTTTTTTATCATCACATGATGTCAAGTTGGTTTGTCAGTAGATATTCATAATAAAAAATCTAGCAAAAAAATTAGATCTTTATAAAATTTTGTTCAGGAGATATAAGTTTACAAAGTGGTAATCTTTTAAGAAGATTTAAGTTACATGACCTTTTAAGCTTTCATTCAATAATTGTTATAATTAAAATTGACATGCTTTTGATTCAAATGATATTTTAATTTATTTAATGTATTTGATCTATTGGAGATTGTATAACTCATAAATACTGATTCTTACTCTTGAATTTGAAGTTTCTTAATAAATATTAAGATGAAGGTTATCAAGTATGTAAAAAAAATACTTTTTTTTTTGTTCCCTAGTAGAAGATACCTGTCTATAAAAAAAATCTATCCAAATAAATAGATATTGAAAAATATTTCAAGGTCAAAATCCAAAGTTTTTTTTTTTTTTTAGTAGCTCAACAGAAATTTAAATTAAAGTAAAAAAATCAAGCATTAACATTTGAATTTGAGTATTTACTGATGTCAAAAGTGATGACATCACGTCTTTTTTTGTTTAAATATATTTTGATACAAAAATCATTTATTGTCAAAAAATTAATAAGATTTTATCCTTATTGTTGTTTTGTATGTGTTTTCTTTTACATTTTTCAGAAGTTTATTCAAATATAATAATAATATTTTAGAATTTCAACTGGGGAAAATTGGCCTGATATTATGCTGGCATGTGCAGAAAAGGCTCCATGTGATAAAGCTATTAAATCAACCGATGGAGATGATATTTGTGGATCTTATTTTTCCTATATTTATTTCACATCTTTCATTTTCTTTTCTTCATTTCTTGTAAGTGTTTTATCTTTTTTTTTTTTTTTTTTTATTAAATATTATTAGATACATAGCTAACAAAGTAAGCAATTTTAGTTAAAAATAATAGTTTATTTAATTCATGGTTTTTTAATTGTTACGTCTCTAAGTTTAATTCGGAATTATAACACAGTTAATAATTATAACACAATGATTAACACAGCTTCACAGAGATACATGTTGAGTACATCACCAATGGGGTGGTACTAAATAGAGTCTAGTAATGAATCAGTGTTGATGATCAACTCTTATTCTCTGTATCAATATAGTGTTTTATTTTATATAGCTAAATTTATAATAGTTTAATTTTATTTTAGCTGCTAAATTTATTTGTTGCTGTCATCATGGATAACTTTTCGTTTCTAACAGCTGATTCAAGCATTCTTGGACCTCATCATTTAGATGAATTTATCAGTGTTTGGTCAAATTTTGATCCCAGAGCAAGGTATTTTTTATTATTGGCTTAGTTGAGGTGACATAACATGCAAATTACAGGTTTATTTACAGAGACATTTTCCTTTTTTGGACCATTATGCTTTACTTGAAAGTTTTTTATTTACAGACATATTATTATTGTAGCTTAGCTGAGTCTACATACATGCATAATACATATGGTTATACATAGATTTATTTTAAATACAACAATATAGTGTTTTTGATTTCACTTTAAACATATACTATGTTTAATTATGTTATATAATGTTTAAATATGTTATTATGTTGCATTTATTATTAAATTGTAGTTATGTATAAAATAAAATTGTTAAATATTTTTCGTTTGAAAGTTGTATGCAGAAAAAAAAGTTGTTTAAAATTGGTCGATGAAGTTTGATTTTTAATAAAATAGTCATCAGTATGAATGTAAAAATATTTGTTTCAAAAACCCATGATGTCAATTCTATTTGTTAATGCCAATTCTATTTTTATTGCAATATCAAAAAGAAAATTAAAATTGTAGAAACATTGTTTACCATCATACCTATAAGTACATACTTAAGTACCTTCTGTCAAGCATTTTCTTGCTTTTTAACACTATTCTTTGTTCCACCATATGGTGAAACAAAGAATAGTGTTAAACGTTTTTTCTTTTCTACAAATGAATGGATAGCAAGGAAAAATTAAACAAGACAAGACTCAAATAAAAGAATGAAGAGAAATGATTTGTGTTGTCAGAAAAATGAGTTACAAAGCTGAGTAAGAAATTGAGAAGTTCAAAAATTATGAGCTTTAGTACTAGCAAGGTTAGTGGTGTTAGAGCCAAACCATTCAGTGTGATGAGCATTAAAGTCACCATTAACAACAATATTGGCAGAGGGATAAAAAAGACTTGGTCAATTGATCAGAAATTACATCAAAAAGAGTGCAGTCTCAAGACAAAATGAACAATAAAGAACAAAGAGAAAGGTGATTGAGTAAATAGGTACTAAATATAAACACATAAAAAAATGGTTAGAAGTTTGGTCATAGTTTAAGTTAAAGAAAACTTGGCTCATTCATAGATAGAGTATTCAAAGCAATTAGCTATGCAGTTGACTCATTCTTAATCCAAAGTTGTGGCTTAAGGCTCCTTGTCACCTGCGACCTCATAAATGCACATCACAAAGAAACCATTCTTGCAAAACATGGCACTGGTAATACTATAATATTTTGTAGCTATTGATGGAATCTGCCTCTCTGAGAGCTACCACAGAAAAATTCTGTGGTGGCTCTCAGAGCTACCACCTAATTTTTCTGTGGTAGCTCAGAACTCTTCCTTTAAGAAGCAAAAATATATGAGTAGATTCAAGAAGCTCCAGCATTCATCATCCAAACAAAGTAACACAGGTTTACAACTTTTCCAGCTTTATAGATGACAGAATTATTCTTTTCAACTCTAAAATCTTTGTCTAGGAGGCTTTCTACTAGATAATAGCTGGGTACAGTTAACATCTGCCCAAGTTGAGTATTTTTATCAAGATACCATCTCTAGCCTTTACTCAACCAGAGCCTCAAGGCTCTGGTTAAGTAAAGGCTGATTCTGAGTTCTGATAACTCTGGGTTAAAATTCCTTTAATATTAGTCAATTCTTATTTTAAATTTATTTCTTCTAGCCTTTGCCTAGAAAAGCAAATTCTACAAAGCAGCAGAACAACTATTCTGCTATTGTTACATGTTAACAATAGCAGAGTGATTGTGATGATCCTGGTTTGGAGGTTAAAAGAAGTTGCTTTTGTGAGCAGTACTTTAAAATGTAGAAGAGGAGATTTTGGAAATGCATTAGGAAAAAAATTATATCTAAAGAAATACTGAAAATTAAGTTGAAGTTATGAAGAAATACTGGAAATTAAGGTGAAAGTATAAAGAAATACTGAAAATTAAGATGAATATCAAAAATAAACACCACAATACACAGATAGTATTGATGACAGGATTACACTTCTTCTAGACTTTGCTTAGAAAGCAAATCCTGCAAGACAGCAGAACATAGAAAAGGTTGCACTGAACTACATGTTACCAGTAGCAGGGTAATCATGATAATCATATGCTTGATCTTACAGATTAACATATGTATCTTGAAGAGCATAACCACTGACTCAAAGTAGATACACTTGCAGAAAAATGTACATATATTGACTATTGGCTTTAAAAAGTTAGGTTTTAACAAGGGTTAGGGTTTGGGTAGGGTTAGGGTTAGATTTTTTTTAAAAGTAAATTATTATTTTTTTAAAGTTCAAGTTTATTAAATAGACAACTGGTAGTATATATATTAATATAAAAATTTCTAGATGCAGACAAGAAAACAGTCTTAAGTTTTACTTTTTGGAAAACTGCCTTCATTTTTTTTTAGTTGACTCTTTCTTAACTTATGTATATTTTTTTAGTGGGCGCATTAGATACACAGAAGTATGTGAATTGCTTAGACAAATGTTACCTCCTATTGGTCTGGGTACTAACTGCAGTAAAACTTTAGCTTACAAGGTTAGATGATTATAGGGTTAATGATGTTAATGATGGCCATACTGATCATGATAATCATGATTATAATGATTACCATGACAATGAATTTGATAATGATTATGATCATGATGAAATCATTATAGTTATTAAAATCGTGATGATCATCATCATAATAATCATAATGATCATGATCATTATCATTGTTGATGCATCATAATTTTTAGCATCATTATCATGTTGCTAAAAAAATTGTATTTTCTCTTATTGCAGCGTTTAGTAAAGATGAACATGATATTGTATAAAGATGAAACAATCGAGTTTACAGGAATGTTTTTTGCTTTGGTTCGAACTGGTCTTAGCTTTTACACTGAAAATGGTATGTAATCATTTAACTAAAGAAATCATTTTTTGATTAAACTTTGTTTTTTAATAATAAAATTGTAAATAGCTTATTTTAATAAGCTATTACAAACTTAATAGTGTTTATGTGTTAATTACAGCAAATCTATATAAATTGTAAAAGTATATAAAGTATAAATAAAATAATACATATATGATTTCAATAAGTAAATATAATTGCTGTTTTTAAGCTGTTTAAACATTAGGACAACTATGGCAAAAATGATTGGAAAATTTTGGCTGAACATAGTTGTGGCTGAACATACTGGTCATAGTAAATATTGTGGCTGAACATACTGGTCATAGTGAGTCAAACTGGTCAGAGAGCTGCAAAATTGAAAAATTCCATCATGTACAGTTATTTTACAAACTACTTGTCTAGTTTTAGTTTTTTTGATATTGTTTATAAATAGTTCAGTACTCTTGTAAGTTTAAATTTTGGTTATTAAGATCTCCACAAATTGCTATTTAGCCAAAAGTACAAGTTGTTTTATGGACAATACTACCAAAGGATGTATAAACTCACCAGATTGCTTCTGCTACATTTGTGGTAACTGTACCATTAAAAAGCAACAAAGAAACATCTCCAATTTTGTTGAAAAGGTATATTTTGCCTATTTTGGTATAAAGTTAGGCAATCAAGATAAGTCTTGGGCTCCACAAAAAGTTTGTTCAATATGTGTTGAAGAATTGAGGCAATGGCGTCAAGGTAAAAAGCAGCCCTTATGTTATGGAATACCAATGGCTTGGAGAGAGCCCAAAAATCATTGTGATGACTGTTGTTTTTGTTCTTGCAACGACAAGGTTTCAATTTGAAAAACAAAAAGGATATTTCTTACCCTAACATTCAATCAGCCATTTGCCCTATTCCTCATGAACCTGGAGTACCAATACCCTCTCCTCAAAATTCTTTGGATGATATTTTAGATGATCACGAGACATTGGCTCAACAAGGTGATAGTGAAGAAGACAGTGATCGCTACAATCATGGCACAACTGGTCCTATTTCATTCTCACAATCTGAACTGAACAGTTTAGTTAGAGACTTAGGTCTTTCTAAAAACTCAGCAGAAGTTTTAGGATCTAGATTGAAAGTAAAAATATGTTGGCTCCAGGTACATCCTTTTATTTGTATTGATCAAGGGAAAAGGAATTTGTATCTTTCTTCTCTCAAGAAGGTGACCTGGTATTTTGAAGTGATTTTCCTGGACTTAAGACATGTTTTAAAAAAGAATATTCTCCTTGTGAGTGGAGACTTTATCGATTCATCAAAAAGAAGCCTTAAAGCAGCACTTCTGCACAATGGCAATAACTATGCTTCTATGCCAGTTGGACGTTCAAAATTGCTCATAACATGTTTACACTAATAAATTTATAATGGCTTATTCAAATAAACTATTTTCATTTCCCCTTTAACTAACTTCTAATTTAAATAACTAAGATAATAGTTAATAGTTAGTTTTCATGTGTTTTTAGTTTTCATGTGTTGTTAGTTTTCATGCGTTAATAGCTAGTTTTCATGTGTTGTTAGTTTTCATGTGTTGTTAGTTTTCACGTGTTGTTAGTTTTCATGTGTTAATAGTTAGTTTTCATGTGTTGTTAGTTTTCATGTGTTGTTAGTTTTCATGTGTTGTTAGTTTTCATGTGTTAATAGTTAGTTTTCATGTGTTGTTAGTTTTCATGTGTTAATAGTTAGTTTTCATGTGTTGTTAGTTTTCATGTGTTGTTAGTTTTCACATGTTGTTAGTTTTCATGTGTTAATAGTTAGTTTTCATTTGTTAATAGTTATTTTTTATGTGTTGTTAGTTTGCATGTGTTAATAGTTAGTTTTTTTAACTTTAAAGATAACAGTTAATAGTTTTCAAACTAACTTAGAAATATTTTAAATATGCCAGGTTTCTCCTTTTTCTGTTTAACCGTTGATCAATAGTAATAAATTATCAATTAGTTTTATACCATTATTCTTTTCCACAAATTTTCAATTCTTGATCTTAGATGTGCCTACATGAAAATGCACATTATTATGGTTTTGTATAACCTTCAAAGGACTCTCTTCAAAAAAATGCAATACCTATATCAATATGAAATAGTTATATGTCTTGCTTTTGAATTAAATTCTACCTCAAAATTGTCTTTAATCTTAGACAGAGTCTTGATGCAGGTAATATTGACCACTACACCAATAATATAATTGTTAATTTGAAGTAGACATTAATTGAAAAGGGCTACATCTACCAATTTAAGAAGAGAAAAATACATCTACCTATTTAAGAAGAGAAAAACATAGCAACTCAGGCAAGATCACAACAGGTTGCAACAATTTATAGAATTAGAGAACAAGTTTGTGTTTGTCTGTTGATGCAGTGTACCTTAATTTAGAAAATATACTAACAAACACAAATATTAAAACTGATGGTGTACAAAACATTTGCAAGATGCGAAAATACTCTTACATCAAATTCTATGAATGCTTCAAGAAAAATTAGTATTAGTAATGAGAATAACATTGATGAAAGTGAATTTGAAGGTATTTTTACAGCAAAATGAAATAGAAATTAAAGAAATAATAGCTGATACTGTGATAAAGAATGATGGCATAAAAGTCATCAATAATTTATTATCATTGATTGTACAGTAAACCAGTAAAAAGAAACGAGCTGACATTTAAATAACTATTTAATTTAAAAACTTTGTTCTCGGGAAGATATGAATAGCTTATTTGAATAAGCCATTTTAATTTAAAAGTGTAAATATGTCATTAACTTTTTGTACATAATTTTGTACAAAACTTGTATATTTATTATATTTTTTATATAATAAATGCATATATTTTGTATCTATATATTTTTGCATATTTATGCTCTATTGAGTTTGGTCGATTATGGCAAATGTATATAAATTGTAAAATAATATGTACAATCAGAACTCAACAATAAAATGTAATCAGAAACCAACAAGTAAACAACTAATGTAAACATTTTGCAAGAAATTACTTTATGAACGTAATTGTAATAAGATTCGTTTTTTTCTTGATTATTTTTTGAAAACATTTAAAACAGATTTTTCTGACATGAATTGTTTGAGAATGCAATTCTAGTGATAATTTAAATTTCAGAAATTTAGGGTTTATTTTTTTCCATTGATTTTCTAAAGAAAATGAGTACAGTCGGCTTTAGTATTCAGTTAATAGCAAAGTTTTGAGATTTTCTTAGAAGTTTTTATATTATTTGTAATTTAAAATATTTTTAATTAAATGTTCTACAGAAATACACTCTTATTGTATGTATAGGGGTAGATGTTAGGATAGTCATTGAAGTAATACAGCAGAGTGGAGAAAAATAAGTTACAAACATAGTGGATATTTAAATTTAAGATTATGAAATTGCAGTAAAAGGTCTAGATTTAAAAATCATACATCAAAGGTTGAAGAAATAAGAGCACATAGATTGCCAGACAGGTTTTGGTTGAGCCAGATAGTATACACATCCAATATAAAGTTAAAGACTTTTTTTCTAAAAGAGATTTATTTTAACAGAATAGTTTAGTTTTACACATTAACAAGTAATCTATATTTGGAGAAATCGTAAAAGAAACATAATCATTATATGCTTTCATCATTAGTTATGCATTGTTAAAATACTTTTTAAGTGTCAGGACTAGACATCAATGCTAATTTGTTTTGTTGACTTAACAAAAAGAATAAATCTAAAAAATTTAATTTAATTCAATTTAATTGAAGAATTTCAAACTTTTTTTAGCAAATTTAAAAAGTAATGACCAAGAATGTCGCAAAACATTAAAAGAAGTTTTTCCAAGCATATCAAAAAGAACTTTAGATCTTGTTATACCAAGAACTCCAAGAAGTAAACTTTTCTTATTTTTTATTGTTTTTTTTTTTAAATAATAGCATTTATTTTCCTTATTTAATTAACAATTTAATGACTTAAATGTTTACTTAATACACGGATGCTTAATACACGGGAAAGGATGTTCATTAATTTTTGGAATATTATCCCACCCACTCCATGCTTATTAAGACACCCTCATCCCCATCCTCCAATGATATATAAAAATATGTATCAGTGACTGATATATATTTTTTCATAATAATAAGTCACTGATGAGAATAAAAATTTTCAGTTTAACTAGACTCAAAAAATCATCAACCTTTAAAATACCTCATAAACGTTTATTTGTCAAACTTTATTCCATTTATGAACCCTCCTTCCTCCCAACCCCTTTCTCCTCCTCTGTTTATTAGATCTAAACTAATATTTACTCCCTTCCCCCTCCTATCCCCTAACAACTATTTATTTAAATTTTTAAATCAAAATCGATTTATAAATCAGTTAGATTATTATTTTTTATTTTACTTAAAATAAAAATTAAATGTAGTACCTTTTTTAAAAAAAGGTACTACATTTAATTTTTGTTTTTGGTAAATATTTTGCATGTTTTCAACATTGATCATTGAGTAACTTGCTATTATTCAATTTTTTTTTTTCTATTTTTTTTTTCTTTTTTTGAATAAATTGCCATTCATTTATTTAATGTATTTAATTATACATTTGCATAAGTCAAAGTTAGGGTCGGCCTTTGGCAAGGCGGACCTAACTGCCGACCTAAAAGTGATTGAGGTCGGCAATTTTTTGCCGACCTCGTTTCTATATTTTATGGTAAAACCTTTGTATCAAACTTTTTTTGCCGACCTGATGCCGAACTCTAAAAGATTGAGGTCGGCAAATTATTGCCGGGTCGGCATAAGTGCAGATATTATTTTGTATACAAAATTAATTTCCTTAGCAATAGCTAAGGAAAATGATTGTATGAAAAATGATTGAATCTTAGAGTTTTAACGTTTTGTTTTAGATAATATTAAAACAAACTAACTTTTCGAATTTTATTCAAAAACAGATTCTGCACACATGACTATTGCTAAGATTTTCTCTGCAAAACTTATTTTGGAAAACTATAAAGCTATTTGCAAAAAAAAATCTATCATGAGAAAAAAAAGATATAACATTAACCAATCAGGTAAATATTTTTCTTGTAGCAGTTTATTTAAACTGTAATTATTTCCTATCACTATTTTTTCTCAATAAAAAACTGAATAGTAGTTAATAAGACAATTAATTATTCATAATTCAAGTTTTTCTACAACTATAATTGAATCACCAATCGGAAGAAGTAAATAAACACCACTTTTTGACATATTTACATTTTTTACATTCTTTAGAGCTCAATAATGAAGCTCTTTCTTTGAAAATAAAGTTTAGGCCTTTTTATTATTTAAGCCATTTCTTCGAACTCACTATTAAGCTCTACTTCTAAAAAATGTAAAAATGTAGAAAAGTGAATATGTCAAAAAAGGGTGTTCATTCCCTTCTTCTGATTGGTTCAGTTATTCCTTTTAGTATTCCACTTATAAACTATGTCATAACTTCTTCTATCTAAAATGTTGGGCTTTTTATCCAATGAAAAATATTTATTTTTTGTATTAGAAAAGCAAAACATAATTGTGTTTTAGTAACTTGTTTTTTAAACTTTTTTTGTTCATATAAAATTTACTTTTTTATAGAATAATATATGGTTTGGCAAAACTGGTTTGATCTTATAAACTCGAATCAACAGCATCAAAATTTGCACATTTATAAAGTGCACATTCATAAAGTTTGCACATTTTTTTGAAAAAAAATAACGATTTTGTTAGTCAATATACAAATGTAAAATTTTTATAATTAAGTTTTTAAAAAAATATAATATATATTTTTTAAATGTTGTATAATTTAGTAAGTATAAAAAGAATTCTTTACTTCTACATTTTTAAAAAAATCAATTTTTAAAGGGGTAAAAGAGAAATTTTTTTTTTTTTGAGCTCACTTGTTTTTATAGTTTTTTTAAGAGAACTTATTTTCATGCCTGCATTTAGAAATCAATTCCGATTTTTAATTTAATAAACATTCTTGGTTTGCATGTGTAATTATTTCAAACTTTTCATGTACTAGACAATAGATATAATATGCATTTTTTGAAAATACTATTATACGCAGGTGCTGTTTTTAGGATAGACCAACTCATTACAAAAACATTAATTTTTTTATCTTTCAATTCCCGTATGTAATTTGACAGCACTTTTAATTACTTTTTATTTTTAAAGGATAACATATCATTGACAAAAATTTAGTCATTTTTATTATATGAAAACTTATAATATTTGATATTTTCAAGATTTCAATTAAGTATTCATAATAAATTAAATACATGTTTTTTTTTATCACTCAATTGATTGCAAGGGAGTTTTGCTTTATATGCTGTACATACGCCATGGGCACGTTAACTCGTATGTGTACACAATAATAAATAATATGCATAATGCACACGTGTGTATGGCCGAAAGATTAATTCGAGCGACTTTAAGTGTCGGAGACCGGTGATCAAAATCCAGACAAGTCATAAAATTACTTTTTATTTTTGAGAGTCAATTTATTTTTTCTTTCAAAAGTCATAATTTATTTTATTTTTGAAAATTTGTTTTAATGACGAATCAATTAAAAATAAACTTTAAAACTTTTCAATTAAATCAATTAAAAATAAACTTTAAAAACACTTCTTTAGTAAGTCCATAAAAAAGCGAGTCTTACTCAAGATAAGTAATATTGAAAGCAAAGCCTGAAATCCAGAGCCAAGGCTAGACTACCTCACACACACCATTTGAGGAGGAGGGGGGGGGGTCTAGCAAGTTTAGGATTCCTTTTGCAAACTAAAGGAGCTTTTTTTTATTTAGCAAAACCAATAAAATTTTTCAAGGTTTTCGGGTCTTAATGACAATTTCTTTTAGGGGAACTTATCTATATATTTTTTTATTTTTTTAAGTTGTTAACTATTCAAAAAAAATTTAGTTATTACCAAATACTTCTTAATTGTGATAAATTAGAAAAACGAGTATTACTAAGGGATTTTGTTTAAATTAGTGCGTATGTACTTTTAAATTGACCCCCCCCCCCCATAAGCTTTCGTACGCTGATTAAAAATCATCCCTCCCCCCTATGAGCATATTTACTTTATGGACGAACTCTTATCGCGCTTGAACGGGCTGCTATTTGACTAAAGTCAGAGTTCGAAAAAAATGCGAATCTTTTTAAAAAGATCTAAAATAATTGTTTTTTTTACAAATTTCTTTAGTTTTTATTTTAAGTTAAAAAATTAAAGAGAATAAAAATATTTTTAGTTTTAAAATTCGTGCATTACTAGTGATGGTGCCCATTAACTTCAAAAATCACATTTGACGGCACTCTTGAATATACATTTCTGATGACAAAGTTGATGACGTCACAAACCTTTGCTCTTTTTTTCCCCCAACTTTAAATTGCATTCCATAAGAGCAATTTTTTGCCATATTTGCCGTCAAGTGTATTTATATTTGTTGCTTACACTGCCACGAACAATTGAAGTATAATATTTGTCACCAAGAAGTTGACTTAAGTTGCACTTTATGTAAGTCTTGTCGTCCATCAAAATGCAGCCATTCAATTTTGTCATAAGTAGGGTGTAAAGTTTTCGTGCTCGTGTTTTTTTTGTCGCGGAATTTTGTTTGTCAGAACAATTTGAGAATTAAATTGCTTGGAAAAACTTATAATTATAGTGTTTCTTTACTTTCCTTACTAAAAACTTACTTTTAAACTCTTCCTCTTTGGGACAAGCCTGGGTTCCTTTCAAAAGAACAACGATTTATTGTCAAAAAAAAATTTTTTGTTTAATCTTCTAGCTTGTTCAACGGATTTTATAACCCTGCTTACAGTAAATATAGGAGTTTTAAAAGCTTTTGAGACTTATTCATAGTTGCATGATGGATTTTCTTCATGAATGTGCAAGATTTTTTTTTTTCAAATTGCTTCGAAGGCATTTTAATAAATTACAATTTGAATTTCTTTTTTTTTTTTTAATGTTTTTTGACAACTACTATTATTTATAATTGTTTTCGATCTCATGCTTTTATACAAAATGATTTATTTGATGCCCAGAGTAAGTTTACTAGATCAGATTAAAAACATTTACATTTCTATCAATAACTTCATTAATTCTACTTCATTTTTTAATGGTGTCTTTATTAGGGCTTCACAAGTTAAAAATAAAATATGATTGTTTAAAGTATAATATACAACTTCGTTATAATATATCAGATAGTTCTCCGTTATAATATAATATATAACTTCGTTATAATATATCAGATAGTTCTCCGTTATAATATAATATATAACTTCGTTATAATATATCAGATAGTTCTCCGTTATAATATAATATATAACTTCGTTATAATATATCATATAGTTCTCCGTTATAATAAAATAGTCTTTACAAATGAGCACGTTAAATTATTAAAAGTAAATGTTAGATTATTTAGGTGATCTCCGTCGAATTTGAAAAAGAAAAAGAATTTATCTAAGAATATATTTTGAGATAATCAAAACAAACAAAAAAGGTAAACTATAATTTTATCATTAACGTTTTTTTTTTATCCAGCTGTTATTGTATTTATACATAAAAACTGTAGTAAATATAAATTTTATGTTTTTTTTATTTTGTTTTTTTTTCCATATATATGTTTGCCGTTAGTTAAAATAACAAAAAGAAATTATAATAAAATAAAAACCTGACAGGAACAAGATGAAGACAATTGCTGAGCCCCCGTTTAATTGGTTTTTGTAAACGTTTTGAATATTTACATACGAAATAAATGATTAATAAAATAGTATATACATAAAAAAACTTTTAAAAAAACATGACAAAATGAAAAACTTGACAAAATGAAAAATAGAAACTTGACAAAATGAAAAATAGAAAACTTGAAAAAATGAAAAATAGAAACTTTTAACAACAATATTTCAACGGAATAATTGAAGTAATGAAATGAAATAGAAGATAGATAACCAAGAAGTTATCTATCCACAAAAATTGCGTTGTGTTTTATTATAAATAATGAAATATAACTAAATATTTATTACTAATTATTTAATAACAACAAAAACAAAACAAAATTCAAAAGTTAAACAAATGTAGTAAAAAAATTAAAGAAATGTAGTGAAAAATTTAACGAAATGTAGTAAAAAAGTTTGAGAAATGTAGTGAAAAATTTAACGAAATGTAGTAAAAAAAGTTTAAGAAATGTAGTGAAAAATTTAACGAAATGTAGTAAAAAAGTTTAAGAAATGTAGAACAGATTTAAATGTAGTACAGATTTATTAATAAAAACTAAAATTTAAAACTTGTACGTCACGTGATCTGAACACGTTTTCTACCCCTAACTAAATTATTTTTTAGAAATGTAATACAGATTTAAATTAATTTTTTTTTTTTTTATTATTATTTATGAAACTAGCTCTAAGACCTAACGGTCTTGTTGTCACGAAGCAAAGTGGAAAATCACTTAATTAGGAATCACTTAGCTTTTTTCTTGCAATTTTTTATGACATAAAATACATTTTTTAAACCACATTGAAGGAGAGTTTATTTACCTTAAACTAGGGTTGACATTTTCCGTTTATTTATGGAGGAGAGGACAGTGTAAATAAAATTTTTAATTAAGATTTGACCCGAGTCCTCCTTCATAAAAACCTATTTCAAAGTTCACGTTAGTAAAAAGTTGTTTGGTGTCACTATTTGAATTAAACCTTGCAAAAATCTACATTTAGTTCTGCAGGTTCTTTGCTAATTAGATATTTTAATACGTTTAATTTATCATTCTGTAGTAATTTTTTTTTTTTTTTTTTTTTTTTTTTTTTTTTTGAAAAAATGATCAACCGTTTTAAATAATTTTGATAATTCAATTAACAACCCAAAAGTGAATTTGTTATTATCAAAGCTGTTGAACAGCTTTTTTAAAAACCAAAACTGTTTAGTTTAAAATTAGATTCTATTATAAACTACACGTTCAAAAATTTTTGGGAATACAAAACTACTAATAACGGTCTGAATTTAAATAATAATATATATCAGTCTTATTGATATTCTTTGAGGCAAAAAAGAAAGAGCGAATTTTTTTTTTTTTTTAATTTTTGTTTTAGATGCCCCAAGAAGTCTTTACGGTTTTATCACAGAGCATCGCGGAAAATCATTTGAAAGAAAGTTCACGCCTTCTTCCTTAAAGATGTTATAAAACTTGCCCGGAGGCGGCAGAGTTACTTTGTTGAACTACGGATCTCTAGCTTCTGAGGCAAGCGCGCAAACCACTACGCTGCGGTTGCTAATTATTATTAATATATTACGGTTAAGATTATTGTTAGAGGGTAGTTTTCCACTGGTACAGTATTCCACTGATAAAAGTTGCAACGCATTAATTTGTAATACTTCAGTTTAAATAGTTACCAGTTTCTACAATTTAATAAAGTTGGGGATAGAAAACGTGTTTAGATCTTGTGACCAAATGATATATTTATGATTTTTACATTTTAATTTTTATTATTGATTTTTTTATTGCAAACTAAAATCGTATGCAAGTAAGAAGTCATTTTTATTGAAACAAACACACTGATAAAGTATTATTGCTCTATGGCTGGCAATTTTGAAAAAAGTTCCAGCCATAGAGCAGCCATAGAATTTTCAAAATGTTCCTCATCTTTCCCTGTCTTCTCCAATAGTTGCGTTTAATTTGTTTTTTTCAAATATATCGTGAATTACATAACATGTTTTTTTTAAAAATCGAATTTATTAACTGTACATTGTTTACTGTGATTAGCTTTCTTGAGTAGATTTTT